AGAAAAAAAAAAAAAGAATATTGAGCTCAGTGGGAACGCTGCCGGCTCTGTGGTGAAGAAGCAGAGAGGGTAGGTCACTCTTTTGGAAGTCTGGCCATGGACGGAAGTTTTCTATATGATGGGGGTGCAGAGAGGGGGAAGTTCGCACACAAGGGGGGAAGAAGGCAGGCCTGGCGGCTGCTGATAAAAAAAAAAAAAAAAAACCACAAAGGGAAGTTCCAGCCTCATAAGTGGGAGGAGGTGGAAGGTGGAGGTGGGAACAGAGGGACAGGGGAGGGTGAGGGGAGAGGAACCCACACAGGGCAGGGGGGCCGGGGGGCCGGGGGATGAAGAAGATATATGGCAGCCTATCTCCTTTACAGGAAGAAATCTGTCCCCAAGGGGAAGGAAATGCCACCCAGCCGTGCCAGTGGGCCTCGGCCGTGAACGTCCGGCACCAGTATATCTACGTGGCCCAGCCAGCACTGAACAGAGTCCTTGTGGTCGACGTGCAAGCCCAGAAAGTTCTACAGGTACATCTCTCTAAGGGAGTGAGGGGGGCTTCCGGTTCTGGGGCACAGCCTGCCCCAGTCCTCTTGGCTTTCTGCGCCCTGCCCAGCTCCTTGGAGAGGCGGTCAGACTGGGGACCAGGGGTGGAGAGCAAAGAAGGTTCCCGTGCAGCTACTCAGCAGTATTGATGGCCTACTATGTGCCGAGCACTGTTCTAGGGTCTTGGAAAACAGCCATGAATGAGCAGTCAAGTCCTAGAGCTTATATTCTGGTCTGGGAGACAGACCGTAAATCAGAATGTTAGAGAACTCTAAATTCTAAGTGCTATTTACAGGTCAGATGTGACAGAGGAATTGGATGACTGTTTCAAATCGGCCCTCGCTCTGGAGGTGAACAGATTCTGAGATCCAAATGCCAAGTGGGATTCCCATTCTGGGAGCAGAGGGCGGGCCAGGGCGGGCTGGAGGACAGTGAGGAGTGGGGAGAACAGGGAATGGTGAAGGGGGAGGTAAAGCACAGCCCAAGCCACGAAGGGTTTTCATCCGGGGAGTGACCTCATCTGACTTAGATTATGAGACAGTCAGGCTCTGTTAAGAACCAATGGCAAAGCACAGCAGCATCGTGGCTACTGAAATAATTCAAGCATGAACTGCAGACGGCCGTGGAGGTGGCGAGAACTGATCAGATTCTGGATAGATTTTAAATGTGGAAAGATTTTCTGCTGCGTTGAATGTAAGTTTGAGAGAGGGGAAATCAGGTTGTTGGGAGTTTTCTTTACCTTGAGGAACGGTAGAATAGTGATGCCATTTACTGTGTGTGGTGGATTGAATAATGGCCTCAAGATGCCCAGAACCTATGACTGTCACCTTCTTGGGCACAGGGGACTCTGCAGAGGTGATTAAGGATGTGTAAATGGACCATTACCGGGGATGACCTGGATGAGCCCTACCTCCTACCTCAATGCAAGTGCAAGTACCTGTAACAGAGGGAGGTAGGGAGAAATGTGCCTGTGTAGGGGTGGGAGTATCTGCATCACTGAAGTAGGCAGAAGTCCGTGGAATCTAGGGCAGAGAAGTAGAGATGCCACTGGGAGGACTGAACCACACCGGTGCTCTGCTGGCTTTGAAGATGGGGGAAGGGGCCATGAGCCAAGAACTGCAGTGCTAGAGGCTGGCAAAGTCAAGGAAACACACTCTTCCCTAGAGCCTCTAGAGCGGGCACTGCCCTGCAGCCATCCCTGTTCAGCCCAAGGAAATTAATTTTGGACTTTGAGCCTCCAGAACTGTAAGAGAATTAAATCTGTGTGGTTTTAAGCCACTCAGTTTGTGGTACTAGGTTATCATAGCAACAGGAAAGTGATGCACTCTATAGAGACTTCGGGAAAGGCAGGGGTGCAGGCCATGGAGCAGGAAGACGAGAAAATTAGGAATTTGGGTTTAGACCTGCCAAGTGTAAACTGCTATTATAAATGTTAGTTGGGGCGCCTTGGTGATTTCTTCAGTTGAGTGTACGACTCTTGATTTCGGCTCAGGTCATGATCTCAGGGCTATGGGATTGAGCCCCATGTCAGGCTCTGCACTTAGCAGTGAGTCTGCTGCTCCCTCTCCCTCTGCCCCTCCTCCCCACTCATGCTCTCACGTTCTCTCCCTAAAATAAATCTTAAAAAAATAAAAATGTAAGTAGAGATGTCAAATAAGCAATTGGATAAACAGGTCTGGAGGCCGACGAGAGATCTAGGCCAGAGACGTCAGTGTGGGGTATCATCACCATACCAACTGTTAAATCCAGAGAAGTGGATGAAATCACTGAAGGTAATACAGGTAGAGAAGAGGTCAAGGTTGGAGCCCTGAGGCACTCCAACACTTAAAGATCAGGAAGGAGAGAAGAAGCCAACAAGGAGACCAAGCAGGAGGAGGCTGAAAGGTAGGAGGAAAATTGGGGCTGGAGGAGGAGAGTTGAGGGTTCCAGAAACCAAAAACAAGAGTGTTTTAAGGAAGAGTTTGCAGTTAGTGGTGTCTGATACAGCTGAGCATTTGCAGATCATGGATCCTAAGAATCAACCATTGGATTTGGTATCCCATGGATCACCTTGGCAGGAGCAGATAACATGATCGTAGAATACAAGCTTGAGGTCATAGAGATGGTGAATACAGACAAGCATTTTGAGGGGGTTTGCTATAAATATGAGTAAAAGGAGTCAAATGAGGCAATAGGTAAAAGAGCATACTGAAGAAGCTTCTTTAGAATAGGTGACATTACAGCATTTGTATGCATGTATGTATGTAATGCTGGGGGGGGCGGGGAAACTCCCACACATCTTCCCTTTCTTCTGCACCACTGAAGTAGGCAGGAGTCAGTGGAATCCAGGGCAGAGAAGTAGAGATGCCAGCTTTGGATAAAAGCACATTCTTTCATATAACAGAAGGAAATTGAAAATATTCAAGTACACTTACAAAGAGGTGACAGTTAACAATTGGTGGCAGGTGGATGAACATTTCTTGTGGTTGCTTTTATTTTCTCAGTGAAATAAGAAAGAAAATTATCACCCAGCCTGGAGGTTTGAAGAGAGAGGTGAAGGGTGCATTTGAGATTGAACTGACCAGGGCACTGTGCTAGGACTGCTGGGTGAAAGCAAAGGCCCACTGAGGGCTTGTGGATGTAAAGAGAAAGTGAGGCCAGTGAGCAGGGTTGTGGTTTTTCTTCCCAGCAATGCCCCAGTGCACGCTCATTGTAGGGGGGAAAATGTGGATGTAACCAGGGTTTTGGTTTCTCCAGGCCAGTTGGGCAGAAGGCTTTCTGTTAGTGATTTTTCTGGCCAGTGAACATACTCTGAGTAATTTCAATCCTTTGAAATTTCTTGAAGCTTGCTTTATGACCCAGCTTAGAATCAATGTGGATAAAAATGTTTCATTTGCACTTTAAAAGAATGTGTGTTCTTATGGTAGGTACGGTATTCTGTATACATGTCAATTATGTCAAGATTGTTCATTGCATTGTTCAGATCTTCTAAGTCATTTTTTTAAAAAGATTTTATTTATTTGACAAAGACACAGCGAGAGAGGGAACACAAGCAGGGGGAGTGGGAGAGGGAGAAGCAGGCTTCCCGTGGAGCAGGGAGCCTGGTGTAGGGCTGGATCCCAGGACCCTGGGAACCCGAGCCGAAGGCAGATGCCTAATGACTGAGCCACCCAGGTGCCCCATAAGTTATTTTTTTTCTTTGTCCACTAAGTCTATCAGCTGCTGAGCGGTGTGTTGGAGTCTCACACCGTGATTGTAGGTTTATCTAAATTCCATCCATTTTTGCTTTAAAACTGTAGTAACTTCCTGGGGCAAAGACTTCTTCATTCTCACAAATTCTATTTCTGGCTATGCTTCTTGCCTGAAAGTCTGTTTTTGTCTAACACTAGTACAGACAGATCAGATTTCTTTTGATTAGTGTTAGCTGTATTTTTTCTGTCCTTTCACTTTCAACCTTTCTATGTCCATATATTTAAAGTGGCCTTTTTTAAAGCCACATGTGTTTGGGTTAGCCTTTATCTAGGATAATAATCTCAGTCTTTTACTTGGATCATTTGATCCATTTATATTTAATGCAGTTAATTATATAGTTAAATCTACCATCTTACTGGTTTCTTATTTGACCTACCTGTTTGTTCTGCTTTTTACTCTTTGGATTAGTCAATTATTATTATTCTGTTATTGTTAGGACTGCCACAGAGATTATAACATGCATCCTTGCCTCAATACAGTCACATGTAATTTATGACTTCACTTCTCTAATAACGATAGAACCATGTAACAGTAACTCCTCTCCTGCCTTTTGCATGATTGTGGGAATAAATTTTATCTCTATATATATAGACCTGACTTAATATTATTTTGTATACTTGGTAGTCATTTATATTCGCCCACATATTTACTTTTCTCACTGCTCCTTATTCCTTCCTGAAGTACACAGTTTTGTCTGGGATCATTTTCATTGTGACAAAAGACTTTTTTAGTGAAGATCTGCTGGCAACACAATTTTTGTTTGTTTGAAAAGACCCTTATTTGCCCTTAATTTTTAAAGACTACTCACTGGACATAGAATTCTACCCTGACAATTCTACTTGCTCAGCATTTTAAGATGCTGGTCTACTGTCTTCCATTGTTTTGTTGATAGGTCATGTATCTTATTTTTTTCTGACTACTTTTCAGATATTCTCTTTGATCTTTAGCAGTTTTACTTTGATGTGCCCAGGGATGATGTTCTTTGTATGTATTCCAATTTGGAAGTTTTAGTGGTTCTTGAATGTGTGGATTGATACCTTTCATCAGACTGGAATTGTCTCTTACCTCTTCTTTGGAAACTTAAAAAAAAAGAAAAAGTTAGACATTTCCACTGTGTCCCACATATCTTTCACTCTTTTTTTCCCATCCTTTTTTGATCTCTTCATGCTTCAATTTTAGTATGTTCTATCAACTTGTCTTTCAGTTCACTAGTCCAGTCTTCTGCTATGCCTAATATGGATTTAACAGAACCTATTTATTGAGTCTTAATTTCAGGTATTGCATTTCTACTAATTTTATTTCTGTATATAAATTTGTAATTATCTTTTCATGAATCGCTCATGGGTCTGTTTCTCTTGTATTTTTTAGTAGTCTTTAGTCATATAGTCTGTATCTTGTAATGCCTAGTAATTTTTTAAATCCCCAACATTCCCTATATAAAAAAGATAGACTTGAGAGGGCTCTCACCCACCAAAGAGGCTTTACCCTTTCCTCTGCTAGGCAGAGACAGTCGAGAATCACTTTAATCAAGTACTTAGTTGAATCAAGGCTGAATTGAAGTTTTTTAAGGCTTATTCTGTCTCTGATTCATTCCTAGAAGTTAGACCTTCAGGGTTTTTAACTGAGAGCCTAGTATATTCTTCAGTATCTTTTTCTTTTCCCCTCCATATCTTTGCTCCTCAGCATATTGAGACTGCAGAACACTGTTCTGAGTTTAAGAGATTATTGGTTTAGCTCTTCAGCCTCCAAACTCCACCACACCTCAGAATGAGAATATGAATTTTGATAGGAGACATGTAAATAGAAAGGAGAGAGAAGGCTACAGTCTAAACACTAGGGAAGTTTTGCTGTGAAGAGGGCAGCTGGAAGAGAATGAGTAATCAAGAGAGTTTTGAAAAGAGAGAAACCAAGAAACTAGAGACAATGTCAAGATGGTATTATTGCTGGTGGGTTATGAAGCTCTGGGTACAGGAAGACTGTGCCAGATCCTGAAGCCTTTAGCAAATGAAGGGAAGCAACCAGGAAGCTGGCAGATGCTGGGATCTTCAGGGGCTTTTTAATGCAAGAAAGGGAAGGGGACTTCAAAGATTGTAATGAAGGGTGAGGAAATATATGTGAGCAGGGAGGGGCAAAATTAAGAGTCCAGTTTTGTGTTTGTTGAGGTCATCCACAGAGGAATGAGTTCTAAAGTCCTCAGAGTACAGCAGGTTATCTGCAGCCATGCAATTGGATGAACTCACCCACAGAAAGGATTTAGAAGAAGGTCAACGATGGAGACCTGAGACATGCCGGTATTTACAGTCGGAATGAGGGGGGAGAGGGGAGGCTGAGAGACTAGAACGTTTCTGGAAGGGAATAGTTAACCACGTGGAGTCGTGAATTGTCAAACAAGAGGAGGATCACCAAGTGATTTCTGAGTCTGACATAAAGTTCTGGAAGAGGTCAGTGGAGCGATGAAGATAGACACTTGGTGGGAATGTTAAAGAAAAGCAGATTTGGGAACTCCACAGACAGTTCTTCAGAGACGTTTTGACCAATGGGAGTAGAGATGGGCAGCCAGTGACAAGAAGGGCAGGGGTCACCATCCAGTGGTATGAGTCTAATGGAAGAGAGTTTGGGAACGTATAAAGCTACATTATAAAAAAGCAGAGAAGTAGAAAACCGTCTCCATTGGAGAGGGCCACAGGAGAGCCTCTGTTCTAGAGGGGTAGTGGAGTTGCAGTTATAGCAGTAAAAAAGAAAAAAGTGTGTCTGCCTGATCCTACAGTGTGGGTCCCAGAGACTCCAGTGCAAGGATGTACAGAGAGAAGCTGTGCCAAGCTAAGAGACCGGGGATAAGCGATGATCTCAAAGTCAGTCTCAGATGGCACAGGAGGAAGGGCCAACTCACCAGAATCTCAGCCTCAGAACCACCTGGAGAAGGACACTGAGAGTTCTAGGGGCCCAAAATTCCGGGAGCAGGGACCAGAGTGCCCTGCAGCTGATTCTTGAGTGGAAAATGTAAACCCTCTGGGTTTGGGCTTTTGCCAAGATGGTCTGGGTCCCCTCTAAGTAAAATCATGCAAGAAGTTTTTAAAAGGGATTCAACTGCTGGCCTCTAAAGAAAACCCAGAAGGGAGGCTTGGGCCCTGGCTTCCCGAGCAGGCTCACTGCCAAGGCTGCGAGGTTGGCTTCCCACTCACCTACGCATTACAGTCATGTACACAAAGGCCAGAAGTGACCACCGTGTCAGCTTATAATAATGATGACCCACTTGTACGTATTTTTTTCAAGTCCATAGGTGTGGACCCTCTGCCAGCTAAGCTGTCCTATGACAAGTCTCATGACCAAGTGTGGGTCCTGAGCTGGGGAGACGTGCACAAGTCCCAACCGAGCCTCCAGGTATGTTGAACACATGGAGACCCACACTCACCCCACAGGAACAAAAGATGCTGTTCCTGTCTCATAAATGTCTCTTGCTTCCCTAGGTAGCTAATCACATTTACCCAAAAATCCAGGCTTGAGGACAGAGTGGCAAACAGCCTTGAGCCAAAGCCCCTCACAGACCATTTCCAAGGTAGCTTCAGCCAGGCCTACCTTTAAGGACAATAATCCTGATGATGGGTAAGATTGTGATGTCAGGACAACCGGACTGTGGCTCCCAGGCCCCACCTCTCCTGAGCAAGGGCATTCTGCACCTCGGGCTGGGCAGCCTCGAGAACAGTGTCCAAGCAAGTACTCAGGGGGTCCCTTAAGGAAGGAAAAGTAGCGGTAATTATGTCCATAATGGAAGCACATTTATTGAGTGCCTATAGTACTTGAGGGCACAGGAAAGTTCAGTGATGTGCCCATGGTCCAAGCCAGGCAGCGTGGCTCCAGGGCCCGATATTCAGCCACGGCCCTGTATTGCCTCTTGGAAACAGTTTGGGCCCAAGAGCTCTGTGGGATTGCCCCGTCCACCAATGGGAGAAGGTACCACCACCCCTGTGTGGAGTGTTTCATCAGGGATACATTCGAGGATTGAGCCCTAAGAAAAGTGATGTGAATGCCTGAATTCTCCCAGCAATCTACACAGAACCATTCTAGATGCACAGAAAAGAAGTTAATTCGTTTCCCACATTGGATGCCTCAGGACAGTAGGGCTTCATTCTCTCTCAGAACCCCAGCTGAGAAGAACTGCAGATGGATCCCAGTTCACCATGTTCTCAAGACTGGGAAGAGACACCCGGGTCTTCTACAGAAGCTTCGTCCAGGGGACTGACTGCCCGCTTGCCTCTTCCCTCCTGGGCCAGGGGGGGACGATCCTGCTTCACCACCTCTAAATGGAGACTATTGTCATTTAATGGATACCATCACCCTGGGGCCAAGTGAGCTGACCAAAAATCCCCCTTAGAGGGTCTAGGAACCTGAATAAAGCTCATTCAGAGCATAAGCCCATGGAAATCATAACTTTTATTGGTCCCTCTGGCAGCTCCAGGAAAGCCTCTAATGTAATTCAAGGGGAGGGGCCACAAAAAATTTTTTTTCTGAAACCAAAAATGATTTCCTAATTTAACAGCAATGAGTTGAGAAACGGAAAGAAAAAGCATCAGATGGGCACTGGATTTCTCACCTGCTGCAGGACCATGGAATCTACAGGACTCTATTCCCAGCCCAGATATCCTCTACTGGGCAGGACCGAGGAAAATGTGTGTGTAAGAATTCAGAGACAGCATCACTCATCACCTCCTCTGAGGAACAGATCTGAGGAAAGATCCCAGACAAACACCAGATGAATCAGATCAGAGACCTCAAGAGGAAGAAAGATAAAGAGGAGACAGTTGCAAACAATGAACCCAGAGAGGAAGTAAGATGGATGAGGACAGACTCCCTGGAAATAGTAATCAGTGCTAAATAAGGATGTCTGAATGAGAAATCCTGATACCAGTCTGTAATGGAGGATAAATTATTTCAGTAAAAATAAGCATAGGGAGTGGAGGAAAGAGGAAGGAGTAAAAATAATTAGAAATACCTTACTGGGATAAGAGAAGGTTTGGAGAATGCTGTTGGAAAGTAGCAGCTGGGAAGCGATGGTCTCATTATTCCACGTATGACAAACTGATTTCTCTTGAAAGCAGAGGTGATCAGACTGGGTTAGGAAGGAAGGAAGGAAACTAGAACTTCTTGATGAGAAACACACATGCCGCAGAAAGAAGAAAAGGTTGCATTTAAAGGGGCGGGCATGGTGAGGACAGGTGAACAAGAATGTATTCAGAGTGCCACTCATATGAGTAAGGCACTAAAAACAGCAGAGAGATACTATGGGATGAACACCCGAGAGACATCAAGCACCATTATTAACAACTAAATGTCTCAAGAGTGATTTAAAATAAAGGAAAACGATTAAAAATGCACTTACATTGTACAAAGAAGATGAAAGAAGGATGTGGGAAAACTGAATGACACAACTTGGTTTAATATAAACCTTGCGGGCGCCTGGGTGGCTCAGTTGGTTGGGCGACTGCCTTCGGCTCAGGTCATGATCCTGGAGTCCCGGGATCGAGTCCCGCATCAGGCTCCGTGCTCAGCAGGGAATCTGCTTCCCCCTCT